TGCCTTGAGGCCCGGGTTAGATCTGTTCGGCCTTGGGCTTCCGGGAGTCACCCGCTGGTCAGTTTCAGCAGCGGCTGAATCGGGGACAGCTGGGGTGCTGCCGGGTTGGTCCCACAGCCCCAACCCCAAGGGGCAGCAGAGTGCTGCCCTGCCCTAGGCGTCCCCAATTCAGCCGCTGGTCAGTTTTAGCAGCGGCTGAATCTGGGAAGCTGGGGGCAGAGCAGCTCCAATGGTCCGGCTGCCCAGAGCACTTCCAGGTTCCTGATGGTGCCGGACCATCAGATGCCGGACCATCAGAGTTTTACTGTATATACACAACTATAAATTGACCCAAGAAAGTTTCTAAATTTGTATTGATGAAACCTGCTACTGGTGACTTTCTTCAGGTTCATCATATTGATCATGTATGGTGTTGTTAATACTTCTCTAGTCTTCATCTTCTTCTTTTGGCTTGTCAATTGACTGTGTCTGCTTAAGTCTTGCATTATCTCATGTTTAAGTCCAAACTTGTATTTTTCTTGTACAGCTAAACGTACTTGTTTATTAGCTCCAGAGGGAGAGCCATGTTAGTCTGATTCTGCAAAAACAACAAGGAGCCTTGTGGCACCTTTAAAGATTCACAGATTTATTAGGGCATCAACTTTCATGGGTAAAACCACTTTTGTCAGATGCATGAAATGGACTTTAGAGAGATAGGGACATACATGTGTACTAGCATATCAAAAGAAGGGAGTTACTTATCAACTGTAGGGCCAGTGCTAAGGAGGCCAGTTCAGTCAAGAGTTCACACCTCCTGGCAGTTGATGAGGAGGTGTGAATACCAAGAAAGGGGCAAAATTGCCTTTGAAGTGACACAAGCATTCTAAATCTTATTCAGTCCTAATCTGATTGTATTAAATTTGCAAATTGCAACACTGCTGTTTCTCTTTGTAGTGTATCAGCTCCTGGGTGTGAGACACATCCACCCTGACTGAAATTTGAGTTTTGTGTCCTTAATTTATTTTTGGGTTTTTGTTTTTTTTTTAAATAAAATGAAAATGCACATGCTTCATTTAAATCATTGCTCTGGGGTGGGGCTGAGGATGAGGGGTTCAGTATGCAGGCTACCCCAGGAAAGGAGGACCCTTTGGACCATTGAACTATAGAGTAAGAAGTGAAAAAGAATAAAATGCTAAAGGTGATCTGTAAAGGGATGAAAAGAGTATTGTCCATTTTGAGGATAAAGAGGCCTGAAGAATTTTAGCTATTCAGAAATGTATTGATTGGTTTTTCTTCTGTTTAATATTAAAATGTCAGGACCTGCTTTTGCTGGGTGATTGGACAATTGGAGGGATGATGATGTGACATGATATTGAGAGGAGGAAGGGTTTTTAAAGTTCAGATTCTTTACAACTCTTCAGACCTGATTCTCTTCTCATTTACACTGAATTTATGCTCATAGAGCTCTGCCCATTGCAGTGCATATTGTTCTGCTGTACACCATTCTAAGAGAGAGAAGAACTCCAGGGATCTTGGATTTCTGTTATTTGCTTTTTATTTCCTTTTGTTAAGGACACCAAGGTGACCAACATTTGGTAGAAAAATTATTGTTTCATATTTAAATATTCCAACCTCTTGGACTGAGGTTTGATAGAAGTCCTGTCCTTCTTGTCTCCTCAAGAAAAGTCCAAGAAGAGAAGACAGTATTTCCAGTACTTCCAAGCAAAAAACAATTGAAGCCAGTCCTCTGGTCTTCCTTCCTTTGTTTCCTTTGCTGTTCCACCATTAAAATAAAATGGGAAGCATGTTAATTCCCTTGATCTTTGGTTTAATTCCTTTCAACTAGGTGGGTTGAGATTGTTTTCTTCCATAGTCACATTTAATGATTGCTTTATCTTATTCCTCTCTCCTTTTCTGTTGAGTTTGGATGAAAAGGAAACTGCTCAGCGATAACAGAGAGGAAGGAAACAAAAGACCTACTTCAGCTCTTGCATGTGCCAATTTTTTATCAGCGGGAGGACATTAATTTCACTGGTGCTGCTCCTGATTTACATAGGTGAAAATGACAGCAAGAATTCGGGGGACGGGAGGGGTATGACAGCGAATTGGGGTTCCCCTGATCATGCAGCCCCGTAGCAGCAAGAACAGACTCTGCCCTCCAGTAGAATAGAGAGGGTTTATTGCTTTTCCAGGATACAGCACAGCCTAGACATGACGTGGCTACAGAAGTCTGGACTAGGATGCCTCAGACCCCTTGAGATGGGGTGCCTCAGCCCTTAGACTCCCAGCCCTTTTCCTTAGTCTGTCTCCTTCATGATTCCAGCCAGAAACTGACCCTTTCCCCAACACTCACATCCTTTGTTCCATCCCTTCCCTTAACCGGTAGAACCGGTTCGTCACTGTCACGGGGGGGCCCCCCAAGGCGCCCCCCACTGGGCAGTGCTCACAGACAGAGGCCAGTAGGGGTCATCCACAGCCCAAGCACAGCAACCAGCAAGGTACTGACACTACATCACAAGGGGTTGCGGTTTTTGTATGTCCCATCCTGCACCCTTTACACTCCCATTGATGCCAGTGGGAGCTTTTTCAAAAGTGAGAATTCCAAAGCTGACTGAAGGATTTAGGCGCATGACTCCCATTTGTGTCACTGGGAATTGTGCGTCTAAAATGCCTCGGTGGCTTTAAAAATCTCAGCCTGCGGGGTTTTACAGATCGCAGAAGTGTAGGACAGGAAGGGGCCGCAAGTTGTCATTTAGCCCCCACACCCCCATGCACTGGAGGCAGAGCCAAAATAAAATATAATAAAATAAAATACTGCCCTGCACAATGGACTGGATGGGGGCGAGGGAGTTCAAAGACAATGCCACTATTATAGCAGAATCATCTCATGGGAATGTTGCATATTGATTCATTATTATTGTTTCACCACTGTTAATACATTCTTATTTTGACACAGTTATTTTTGAGGCTGAGTAATCTGAAATTAATTAGCAAAAATATACTGGCAGTGCTGGGTTGCTAGGATCCAAAAAGCTGCCAGATACATGCACCCAGCATCTCAAGGAGAGCTTTGTTTTCTTTGCAATTCCAGTAAGAAAAGCATGTTTTGGCCATCCCTAGGTGTCTGCATGTGTGGTCAGGATGTTTAGTTTTAATCAGACCTCTTCTACGCTGCTGATTGTTGGGCTAGGAGTACTTATCTTCTGCTCCCAGCTGCTGGTCCACTCCTAGCTCTGCCAGATACATGCACCCAGCATCTCAAGGAGAGCTTTGTTTTCTTTGCAATTCCAGTAAGAAAAGCATGTTTTGGCCATCCCTAGGTGTCTGCATGTGTGGTCAGGATGTTTAGTTTTAATCAGACCTCTTCTACGCTGCTGATTGTTGGGCTAGGAGTACTTATCTTCTGCTCCCAGCTGCTGGTCCACTCCTAGCTCATT